CATAAGGCTCCCAAATGTGATCTGAGTTTGAACTGTGTTAAGTTTAAAGCCGAAACCGCAGTCTGTGAGAAACGGGAACATTGGATCCCTAGAGTCAGCCATGCCTGTCATATTCTCAGAACTTCATGCTTAGATCATCAAAATCCCTGCCAGTGGGTAATGCTAAACAACAAAGAAAGGAGGAGGGAATGGGCCTTCAGCTCCTGAACCAGCCTGGTGGTCTCAAGGTCCGCAGCCCGCCTGGATCCCTAACGCTCAGGCAGGCCTCCACGGCCGGCTCCCAACAACATATCTTGTTCTTTTGGCATTTTTATATCTAGTAACTATATGAAGTTTCTATGATGATAGCATTTCTGAAGAATACTTGAATGTTTAAAAATTAGTGGTGATTTTGGGTTAACAAGAGGTGAGTTAATTTTTTGGATGTGAGAAATTTGATTAGAGCTCTGGCAAGCAGCTGGAATAATGGCAATAGTTTTGTAATTTGTAGAGTTGGGAGAGTGCTAACCCTTCATTTTATGATCTAAACATTAAGTTGTTACAAACTGGTAACACTCTGTCAGGGCAGATTTGACTTTGTTTTTTATTTTGGTTGGATTTGCAGTAATTACTGGTGCCTTCTGCTATGATGTAGTTTTGGATAAGAGACTTGATGAGTGGATGCCAACAAAAGTAAGTGTATCTTTGGGGTATTAATTTTAGAGTCTCTGCCTTTCTATGTTAGAATGATTCCTATGTTAGTATTGAATGGTGTACTGCATGTTAAGAACATTTAAAATTGTCTATATCTACCTATTGTTGCTTTTCCTTTTTTATGAATTAAGAAAAGTAGATTTATTAAAGGAAAAATATATTGTGAAGGGCACACAGGCAGGACAACAGTGAGAGTGTCTGCTGTCTGTTGTTGCTTTTTCAGTATATTTAAGACAGAGGTGTATGAATGAGAGTATTCACAACAGCATGGTCAGTTGTCTTGAAGCTATATGTCCTGCCTGACCTTTTCTTAAAGTGCCTTTTTTTTAGATGAATTCACAGTACTAGGCACACAGTTTCATCTTATCTGGCTTATGGATAAATGCTTTTAAGTAAATGTTACTAAACGTTATTACTTTGATTTTTAAGGAGAATCTACGTTCCTTCACAAAGGACGCCCATGCTTTAATTTATAAAGATCTTCCATTTGAGACTCTGGAAGTTGAAGCAAAAGTGGCATTAGAAATATTTCAACACAACAAGTAAGTGTTAACCTCCCAGAATTTTATGTAATGAAGAATTCAGGTCTTAGTAATTTTTATATTTGAGGTACAGCACTTATCTTCTGCTCTAAGGTATCTTTTTCTGCAGTAGGCTGTTTACTTTTGTTCATCTCATTTATTTCACTGAGAAAAATGTTCCCTACCTCCCTTGATAGTTTTATCACTTTGTTTTACTCCTCTGTTTCTTAGGACAGCCTTTCTTGTTCTAGCAACACAGTGGTATGTTTCTCCTTTGTCTTCTCACCGTGAAGTGATAACATTCGTTAGGCGACTGTATCATTTTATGTACTTGGCAGTCTTTCTTTCCTATCCTTCCACTTTTTAAATGAAAAGGATAAAATTGAAAATGCAAGCAGTTTGGAAGGGAGATCACAGGTGAAGTAAAATGTTGACACAGCCAGGTCTTAGTCTTCTTCATGTTAATTATTTATTTGATGGATTTTCTTTGTCAGCACTTTAAAACCTGCCTGGCTTACCAGTTCCCTTTCTTGGAAAGCATTTAGTTCATCTTTTACTACTAGTTTTAAGAACCTAAACTAAATTTTACTATTAGTCTAATAGAATATTACGACTAATTAGAAAGGGAAATCTGTGCAGCAAAAAAATACTATAAGTACTATAATCTGAAGCCAAAATATGCACCTATAAATTGCTAAAGGTAATGGATTAGACTTTTTTTAGGTATATAGAAATTGAATTACAAATTCTCATAGGGACAGTTTATCATAGGTATATTCTTGGGTTAGTTTATGAGAGTTTTCTAGACTCATACTCTAACTGGGCACTTCTCAAAACAATATACTTCCTAATATTCTTTAATAATATATTGATATCTGAAAAGTGTGTACTGTGACTGAGTTTGGAGAACAGTAGCATAAAAAAATTTACTCATTGTACTTTGGGATCTCCCAAAGTCGATATAGAAAACAGTATTTTTCAAATGTATTGGTCCACGTTCCTGAAACATGTTTAGCATGTTCTGGAACCAGTGGACTTAGAAACCAGCTGTGATGTACTATTTTAACTGAACTAGTACAGATAGTGTTGTTGAACCAAACCACCATTTATAGCATTGATTCCATAAGAAAATTCCTTGGACTATCAGAACACATCAAGTCACTTTCTGTGCCTAAAGTCTAGGCACATGCTATCCAAAAGAAATATAATATGAGCCATTTGTGAATTTTTAAATTTTCTAATAGCTGTGTTTAAGAAAGTCAAAAGAAAAAAATGAATTTACTTTTAATTATTTTATTTAAATGGTATGCCTAAAGTGTTATTTCAATGTATGAGTAATGTTAAAAAATACTAATGATATTTTTACTTCTTTTTCACCCTAAGTCTTCAGAATCTGGTGTGTAGTTTACATTAAGGTACATTTTAATTAGGACTGAATACACTGAAGTGTGCCATAGCTACATTACTGGACAGTGTACATTTGACTTCCATTCTGTGTGCATTGAGATTTTCCTTTCCCCCACTTAACTGTGAAAATCTGGTATGGACTTCTGGGACTTTGTTCATTTAGTCGAGTGTGTAATAGGCGGAAGGGAACAGTTTTGGGGTAAGTTCGAGAGGACAGAAGAATGTTGGCTCATTGAAGGTGGGTCAGTGATTGGGTCTTTCTGCTGCAAGTGAAGGATGGGAAATTTTTATAGCTTTGGCTTACAAGGGCAGGATCATCTCTTAGAGGTGGGTCAGGAGGGACAAGTATTCAAGGAAATTAGCACCCTCAGAAATGCATGCGGGTCTATGACAGGAGGAATGTGACTGTCGGTGGATGTTTTTGCATAAACCAATGCTTTCCAATCTTGCCACATTACAGTGTGTGCATGCATGCATACGTGCTTGCGCGCTCTTTCTCTCACCCGCCCCCAGCACATATATTATCTTTGTTAACTACCCTGGACAAATACATAAAGCTGTTAATAGTAAATGATAAAGTAATGGTTTAAACTTGGACTGTGTGCTGTGTGGTTTCATCTACAGCTTTTAGCTGTACTGATAGAATCAGGTACATTTGAGAGGCATTTGGGCAGTAGAATTGACAGAACTTGATAATGAATTGGATGTAGGGGGGATGGTGGGAGAAGGAGGAATCAAGGGGATCTCCTAGGTTTTTCACTTGAACATGTGGTGGTTGGTATAGTCAGACAGGACAATGAGGAGGAAGAACAAGTTTGGGTGGGAAAAGAGGTTGTAATTTTTTTCAGTTTGGAAATTTGGGGGTTTAAGGTGCTTGTGGGACATCCTAGTGTGTATCCAGAAGTCTTTGATATACAGTTTGGTGCTCAGAAGAGGTAGGTGGAATTGAAGCAGAGATGTGGAAGATATAACTGCATAAGTAGTAGCTAAGGTTTGAAAATCAAGAGGCTAGTATAGGGAGGATGCTTAGAATGAAAAGAGAGCTTAGGATAGAATCCTTAAAGGGTAGAGAAAGACAAGAGTGGCCAGGGAGGTAGACGAACAAGCGGAGGGAATGCCATGAAAGCCTGTGGAAAGAACACTTTGAGAAGTGGAGGTGAACAGTAGTGTTAAGAGAATGAGAACTGAAAAGTGTCCATTAGGTTGACTTTGTTGATAACCATTTGGTAGAGTCATAAGACTGTGACCAGATTAAGGAAGGTGAAGAAGGGGAGGCTCCAAGTGTAAACCATTCTCAAAAAGATGGCTGAAGAGGAAGAGAAAGGCAGGTGTATTTAGAGTTAAATTTTTTTTAATCTTCACTGTTTTTCAGGTATAAAATAGATTTTATAGAAGAGAAGGCTTCTCAGAACCCCGAGAGAATAGTCAAGCTACACAGGTAAATAAAAGTCTAAAAACTGACTGTCATGTTCATTTAGAGTAAACCTTAGCTTTATTGTTTTCTAAATGAAGTGTGTGATTGAAATAGATGAATTTGTACCTGATTTTGTTACTATTATTTTCTATTGCTTTGTTCATTGTTTTGATATGGTGGTAAGTGGAAACTTTAAATTATCTTCGGGAACAGTTGTGGTTTCTGTTCCTCATTTTATTGTTTGCTAATTTGATTTCATTTCAAGAATTGAAAACCACTGTTTAAAATTCAATTTTTGGGAGTTAATTTTGAAATTGGGTGAGATAGTCATTGTTACAAATTGAGCATGATAGTTCATGTGTGTACAGAAATATGAATGCCAACTAATTAGTTATTATATGTGGTACCTGTAAGTAAATTATACCAGAATGTGTTTTCTGACACATGGGTTATGTTGACATTGTTCCATGGAAAGTGAGTCCCAAGATAGTGTATTATGCAGAAATGACTTAATGGCCTGGATCTGTTTTTTTAACCTCACATTTTCATCATTGGCACTTGACTTTTTTCCTCTAGAAATGGTTGATTGTTTCTGGAACACAATTTATCCTACTCTTGGCATGGGTTATTGTAAAGGTTGTAGGTTATCAGTTTTAGACCATTGGATCTGCTTGATAGCATTATGTGTTACATGACTCTTAAAAACCTTTGCATTTATATCAATGCTAATTAAGAAAAAGTTTCACTTGATTTAGTTTTCAAAGTTTTAGCCTCTTTACTTTAGATCACTATATCAGTTGTTAGAGACTGAATTGAGCCATAAGAATGTTCTTGTTTAGGGATTAAACAGGAAAGAGAATGAGTAGATTTCTTTTCAAACTGTTATCAGTGATGTTGAGGTCTTATTTTTTAAATCAAATCAGATTTGGTGACTTCATTGATGTGAGCGAGGGCCCTCTTATTCCAAGAACAAGTATTTGTTTCCAGTATGAAGTGTCAGCAGTTCACAATCTTCAACCCAACCAGCCAAGTCTTATACGAAGATTCCAAGGTCTTTCTTTACCCGTTCACTTAAGAGTAAGTAATGCTTAGAGTTCCAGTTCTTCCAGTTTGGGTATAATGTAATTCTGGATTTGATTTTATACCAATTTGAAGGATATAAATTTTAATTTTTCTTAAGTTGTGTGATACTAATATTTTGTAAACTTAATTATGATTAAAAACAAATTTGCCCAGGGTATAAGCATATAAAATAAACATTAGTTGAGAAAAATAAATCAAATTGAGAAAGTATTTTTAATTTTTCAAATTAGTATAGGTGAGAGTACATTGGAGAGCATATTGGTAAGACTTATTGGGATTGCCTTTTTTCCCTCACATTTGGCATGCTCTTCCCTCTAATTTTTTTTTTTTTTGAGTTGGAGTTTTACTCTGACACCCAGGCTGGAATGCAGTGGCACACTCCCAGCCTCCGCAGCCTCGACCTGCTGGGCTCAGGCAATCCTTCTGCCTCAGCCTTCCAAGTAGCCGGAACTACAGGTGCGCGCTGCCACACCCGGTTGATTTTTAAAATTTATTATAGAGATGAGGTCTCACCATGTTGCCCAGGCTGGTCTCGAACCTGTGGGCTCAGGCAATCCTCTCGTCTCAGCCTCCCAAAGTGCTGGGATTATAGGCTTGAGCCACTGAGCTCAGCCTTCCCTCTAATTTTAATGAGCTAGGACCCAAAGCCTATCATTTTCTACATTGCTCTCACCTCTTGCTGATTCTTTTTTAAAATTTAAATTTTTATTTTGAGATAATTGTATTTATAAGAAATAATACATAGAGCTCCCATATACCTTTACCCAATTTCTTCTATGGTAGCACATTGCAAAACAAAACTACAATCTAATAGTCAGGGTATGGACACTGATAGAGTGAAGATACAGAACAATCCCTTCAATACTCATTTACATCCACTTCGTGCAGCTGCCTGCCTCCTTACCCCTGGAAACTACTAATTTTGTCATTTTGAGAATATTATATGAATGGGATCAAACAATACATAATTTTTGAGGATTGGCATTTTTCACTCAGCATAATTTTCTGGAGATTCAACCAAGTAATCGAGTATATCAGTATTTCATTCTTGTTTATTGCTGAGTAGTATTTCTTGGTATGGATGTGCCACAGTTCATTCATCAAAGGATATCTAGGTTGTTTCTAGTTTTTTGGCTATTATGAACAAAATTTGGGTATAGGTTGTTATGAATGTATATTTTCTTTTCTCTGGGATAAATACCTAGGAGTGCAATTGCTGGGTCATTTGGTAGGTGTATGTTTGGTGTATTAACAAATTACCAAACTTGGCTGAGCATGGTGACTCATTCCTGTAATCCCAGTGCTTTGGGAGACTGAACTGGGAGGATCACTTGAGGCCAGGCATTTGAGACAAGCCTGGGTTACATAGTCAGATCCTGTGTCAACAAAAAATAATAAAAATTAGCCAGGCATGCACCTTTAATTCCAGCCACTCGGGAGGCTTAGGGAGAAGGATTGCCTGAGTTCAGGAGTTTAGGGCTGCAGTGAGCTATGATTGTGCCACTGTATTCCACCCTAGGTGACAGAATGAGACCCTGTCTCAAAACACACAAAAAACTACCAGACTGTTCCAGAGTGGCTGTGCCATTTTGCATTCCCACCAGCAACATATTAGTGATTTTTTTTCCACATCTTTGCCAGCAGTTGATACTGTCACTATTTTGCCATTCTGATAGGTTTGCAGTGATTTCTCTTTTGTAGTTTTAATTTGCATTCCCCTACCAGCTAATGGTGTTGAACATTTTTTCATATACTTGTTTGCCATCTGTATAATATCTGCATTTGTGGAATGTCTGTTCGTGTCTTTTCCTTGTATTCTAATTGGATCATTTTACTTTTTTACAGTTAAGTTTTGGGAGTTCTTTATATATTGTTATTAGTCCTTTGTTACATAAGTAGTTTGCAAGTTACTCTTTCTCTGTAGTTTGTTTTTGTGTTGTAGCTTGTCTTTTCATTCTTTTAACAGTGTTTTGCAGAGCAGAAGTTTTAATTTTGATGAAATCAGTTTGTCAGTTTTTTCTTTTAGGGATCATGTTTTTGTGTTATAATTTTACACCTAAGTCTGGTCCATTTGCATGAATTTTTCTACAAAGTGAAAGATTTATGTTGAAGTTCATTTTCTTGCCTATAATATGTCAAATTACTCTTGCACCATTGATTGAAAAACTGTACTTCCTCCACTGAATTACTTTTGTATCTTTGTTAAAATCAGCTGGGCATATTTGTGTGGGTCTGTTTTGGGGTTCGCTATCTTGTCCCATTGATCACATATGTGTATTTGTCCACCAATACCACACAGTCATGATTACTGTAGCTATAAATAGGTCATGAAATCATGTAGAATAATTCCTCCTATGTTATTATTCTTATATAAAAATTCTCTTAATGGTTCTAGTTTCTTGTTGCCTCTCCATTTAATTTTAGGATAGTCTTTTCTATGTTGACAGAGTCATGCCAAGATTCTAGTAGGAATTCATTAAATCTGTATAGCAACCTATGGAGAATTGACATTTTTTTCTATGTTGAATTTTCCTATCTATGAACTTACTATATCTTTTCATTTATTTAGATCTCCTTTCATCTTTTTATTTTTTTGAGTCAGGGTCTTACTCTGTCACCCAGGCTGGAGTGCAGTGGCACAATCATGGCTCATTGCAGTCTCCACTTCCTGGGCTCAAGTGATCCTCTTGCTTCAGCCTCCTGAGTAGCTGCAACTTCAGGCATGTGCCAACACGTCCAGTTAATATTTTGATTTTTTGTAGAGATGAAGTCTCGCTATATTGCCTAGGCTTGTCTTGAACTCCTGGGCTCAAGCAATCCTCCTGCCTTGGCCTTCTGAAGTGCTGGGATTATAGGTGTGAGCCACCATACCTGGCCCATTTCTTTCATTTTGTAATTTTTTGCACACTTCTTTTACCTGTTTGATTTTTTCCCACATACCTACTTCCTTTCCTAGCCTTCTCCATTTCAGTAAATGACACCATCACCTATCTGGTGTTTGAGCAAGTCCTTTCAACAATTAACTCTAAAACTTTCTAAGTCCATCCACTGCACAGCATCCCATCTACTGCTGCTTCCCTTATCCAAGTCTTTCTCTTCACTCCTCTTCCTTACTTTTACTCTTATCCTCCATAGTGCATTCTCTACTTAGTAGACAAAATGTTTATGCATTGCCTCTGCTCCAGACTTTTCATTGACTTCCTTTGAATAAATCCCAACCTTTTACCGTGTCTCACCAAGTCCTGCTTATGTAGCCTCTGATTGCTTCTCTGACTTTATCTCACACCGCTCTCTTCTTCACCTACTGTGTTCCAGCCCCACCTTAAGGCCTCTACACCAGCTGTTCATTCTGCCTGAGTCAGGCATGGTTTTCGCTTTAAACATACCATGTTGTTCTTTCTCCAGAAGGGTTTCAGTGCTGATACTTAGCAATTTTACCTTTTATTTTAGATTTCACGAGCTCATTTCAGTGTGAAATGGTTCATTGGCCCACCCATATGTCTTGGTATTTCTTTCAGTTGACTTCATAAAATTGATGTGATCATTATACATTTTGCATACTTTTTACTGTTGTCTTTGTTAGGTTTGCTTGTTTTTTTTTTTTTTTTTTGAGTTGGAGTCTCACTCTGTCGCCCAGACTGGAGTGCAGTGGCCGCTCCCGGCCACCGCAGCCTCGACCTGCTGGGCTCCGGCGATCCTTCCGCCTTAGCCTTCCAAGGAGCTGGAATTACAGGCATGCACTACCACGCCCGGCTGATTTTTTGATTTATTGTAGAGATGAGGTCTCGCTGCCCAGGCGGGTCTCGAACCCACGGGCTCAGGCAATCCACTCACCTCAGCCTCCCAAAGGCGCTGGATTACAGGCTGAGCCATCGAGCCCGGCTGGTTTGCTTGTTCTTTAGAATAATTTGCTGAATGCTCTGGCTCTGCCTTTTCATTATGAAGATGTCACAGTTGGTTCTTAATGACCATCTTCTTGTGATTGCTTATTATTTGAATAATGATTTCTAGCATGTTGAAATTGGCTAGTTAAGGAGAGAATTGCAATCTACAGGAAAGTGGGGCAGATCTTGCTTTCCTTTAGAAGGAATGTTTTCTATGATGGAAATGATTAAGGGGGACAAAAGAGGGAGAATGGTATGTTCAATGCTTCAGTCTATCTTAACTGCTAAGCAAAGCAGCTATTCTAAATAGTACCTTTTTTCCTTACTCTGACCCACTTTTGTAACACTTAGCTACATTAGTTATGCCTAGCTTTTTAAAATTTGTTTTGTTTTAAAAGCTGCATTAAACTCAGTCCCTTTTACTTTACTTTACAGCTTTATTTAATTCATAGCAAATCTTTTCTTTTTAAGGCACATTTCACGATATGGGATAAACTATTGGCAAGATCTCGGAAAATGGTAAGTGTGTAGAACAGCTAATTAGTACTCTTCTATGACCTAAATTTTTATGGAATTTAAACAACAACAAGCAAAGGGAAAAAAGAAAGAAAGAAATAAAGAAAAAAGACTAAGTTGTCTCAGTAGTCAAAGTGGTGTTGCGATTATTTACTCCAAAAGATTTTTGGCAAGAGTAAAGTTGTAATTTGTCAATTCTCTTTTGATTTTATTTATTAACATCATGAAAATGATACTATAGAACTTGAAATAAGAATATTACTATATAGTAGTAAGTGTTCTTAATAGTTGTAATGATAATAACTAGGTCTTATGATAATTGTTTTGTAAACATAGGGAACATTTAAAAGATTAAGATTTGTGAAATATATTTTAAAATTGCCTTATCTATTGATATTAAATGTGCAAATGTCCTGAAAAACCAGATTTGAATGATTGTCTTTCTGTAGTTTATTTTGTCATTAGCATTTATATTTCATGAGTAGGAGTGATTCTATTTCTTGACAAACTATCCCTATTCATTGTTTCATAGGCTAAGTGTGCCTCTTTTACTTAGGTTATCTGAAAGCTGTCCTGTGTAATCTGGCTTCTGTAGGCCTTCCTCCTTTCGCTAATCTTCCAGGACTCTACAAACACTCTAGTCAAGCTGGTAGGCACAGTGAGCAGGACACATCACATTTTCAAGTTTGTGTATTTCTTCATGACAGTTCCTCCACCTGAACTCCATTTCCCATTCTCCTCCTAACTATCTACATCATACTCATTCTTTCATACCTCACCCAAATCTTCTCCATGTTACAGTCTCAGAGTAATTGCCTAACAAATAGTTACCCATTCACATAATTTCGTGCTTGATTGTATACCTCTTTATATTGTTTTTTTTATTGTTTTCTATGCTTATATTTTTATCTTCTGTCTGTTAACCCATTCTGGGTTTGTTAGATTTGTGTAATCCCAAATTTTGAACAGAACATTAGTACATAGAGTACATTACCTAATAAATATTTATTAGCTATTTTTCATAATGACATATAAGCCTAGTCTTTATTAACAAATTGATCAATAGAAATTTTTGCTTAGGGACTTAGTCATAATTTTCTTGTGTAAAGATTATGTATTATTTTTTTCTCATGAAAAGAAAGTATATTTGAATGGATGGAATAATCTTGCTATTTTGGTTGATTACAATGATCATTTTAGATTAAGAAACTAGAGAAGCAGTGGGTGTCTAAGAAATGGTTTGGAAAATTCAAGAAGCACTTTCAGTAACTGAACACTTTAAATAACAGAGCACTTTAAAGGAATAACTGAGCACTCTAAAGGAAGGAAAAAATGTAGAAAACTGGTAGAGACAATAACTTACCTAGAATATCTAGTAAAGTCAGTCAGTAGATTTTTTTGAAACATTTATTCTGGTTTAGTTGCTTTTGTCTAAGTCATTTTGCTTGTCTGAAGGAAGTAGATTAAACACATGGTTCCATGTTCAACTAATAGAGATTATTGGGTGTTTATTGTGTGCCAGGTACTGTTACATTTTGGAGGTATGAAAATTAACAAAATGTACCTGCTGCCTCAAGGAAGTTAGTTTATGGGATAACTAGACTCATAAGCAGACCTTTTAGGTATAGATGTGGGGCTCTGTCATAAAGAAGGACCCAGTCAAACTGGAGAGTTAGTTAATGAGGAATTCCCAGAAATTGCAGTCTCTCTTTTTTTTTTTGAGTCAGTCTCACTTTGTCACCCAGGCTGCAGTGCAGTGGCATGTTCACTGCCACCACAACCTTGACCTGCAGGGCTTAGGCAATTTTTCCGCCTCAGTCTTCCATGTAGCTGGAAACACAGACATGCACAATCATGCTTGGCTAATTTTTTTGATTTAGTATGGAGACTAGGTCTTGCCAAATTTGCCTGGGCTGGTCTTGAACCCATGGGCTCAGGCAATCCTCTTACCTCCACCGGCCGAAGTGCTGGCATTACAGGTGTGAGCCACTGTGCTTGGCTAATTGGAATCTCTTAAGCTGTTTTTAAAGAATGAGTGAAAGTGGGCTGGGTAGATAATTTGTTGGGGGGATGGCTTGGTTTTCTTAGAAAAGCCGCTTGCCTAGAGACATGGAGGAGTGGAGAACTTGGTGAATGACAGTTCTTTTATTTTTTATTTTTTTTGAGTTGGGAGTCTCACTCTGTTGCCCAGACTGGAGTGCAGTAGCCGCTCCCGGCCACTGCAGCCTCGACCTGCTGGGCTCCGGCGATTCTTCTGCCTCAGCCTTCCGAGTAGCCGGAATTACGGGCATGCGCTACCACGCCTGGCTGATTTTTTTGATTTATTGTAGAGATGAAGTCTCGCCAAGTTACCCACGTGGGTCTCGAACCCATGGGCTCAGGCAATCCACTCACCTCAGCCTCCCAAAGAGCAGGATTAAAGGCTGAGCCACTGAGCCTGACTGACAGATCAATTTCAATGTCTAGGTCACATGTAGGGTAGGTGATGAGTCAGTCCAAAGAAGTTTGTTGTAAGTGGAATATGAGGCACTCGTCTTCCATGCTGTGAAACTCTCCTTCCCCAGCTCCTCAAGGCGATAGAGGGTAACTGGAAAATTTTGAGTAGGGAAATGACCTGTTGACCAGCTCTTCCTGTTTAAAAGTTCTTTCTGGGGGCAGCATGGAATTTATTAATAGCTATGATTTAAGCCAAGAGTTGTCTTAGGAGGATAGAAAAGGATGAGTTCAGCCATGGCAGTGAGAATGACTGAGTTACTTAGGTTGACGTAATGAACTGTCGGGAATCTGCAGGTAGGAAGGGACTGAACTCTTGAATGCTGGTCTTAACCAGCTGGGTAGAGCCCTTTCCCGGGGTAGATAATGCAGGACGTGGGCTAGATAATGCAGGTTTTGGGGTGCTGAGGAATTCAGATTCAGCTGTTTATTTGATGAGTCTGAGTAATGTAGACTAGAGATAGGGATGTGTATAGATATCTATTTAAACTAAATCTGTAATATGCTCTGTTCTAAATAGAATTATACCTCAGAAGAAAACAAATTGGCTTAAAATACTTTGTTTTAGCACTTGAGGTATTTTTCTTATAATAATGATATTGTTTTATAGATGAAAAGTAAAACGACCCACTTGAGAAGCCTAGGTGTAATATGCCTCGACTACATTTTTGAATGGAATTATTATACTTTACCTGATAATTTATATTGGTAATTTGGCCCTTAAGTCTTTTTCTACTTAAATTTCCATGATCGTTACTATAGCAGGAGAAAGACAAAGGGTCATTGAAGAGAATGATTGTGGAATGATTGAAAATGGGGGGAGGGGAGAAGAGTAAAACTGAAAGTGGTTATTAGGAAAATAAAATTATTCATGTTTTTACAGGTAACTGAAGATCCAACTAAACCGACAGAGGAAAGTGCATCTACCTGATAACTTTCTAAAATTTAAATATGTATAGTAAATTAAAATAAAAGTTTTTAATGCAATGTTTATGTGTGCTTATAACGATCAACTCTTTTTCTTCCTAAGATTGATATGTTCCTTACTTTTCCTTTCTCTAAAGGATGAAATATTTTATATTGCTCACAGTAAAAACTTCATGTAAAACAACTCACTCCTCTCCTGTTCCATGGGTTCAACACTTTTGCAAATGTACACATACTTGTTTGCATTTTTTTTTTTTTTTGCTACTTGAATAACAGTGCAGCAAACATCCTTGTGCAAAATGGACAGTGTTTGTAGATAGAAAAATAATGCTATTAATTGAATATTTACTATGTGCTGGGCCTTATGCTAAACCCTTCACTTGGAACCTTTCTGATCCTCATAACAACTTGTTGAGGTGTTTCTAGCTTTTAAGTGAGGAAACTGAGAGAGCCTAAGATAACTTTTAAACAGAAATAGTTGATCAACAGGTCATTTTCCTACTCAAAATTCTCCAGTTACCCTCTATAACCTTGAGAGTGGGGAAACGCCTGTTGAGAAGGTGTTTCTAGTTCTTAAGTGAGGAAACTGAGAGCATAGAGCTTGCATGTGGCAAAGCTGGAATTTAAACTGAGGCAGTTTCACTCCCATGCTCTTATGTACTGCTTTATGCCCTCATTTGTAAGTTGTTTTGTAGGAATAGGTTTCTGGCAGTGGAATTATTGACACATGCTACCAAATGCTGCCCTCCCAAAGGTTTTGCCAAATGCTAACCTCCAACAACTGTGTCTAAAAACGCTTGTTTCCCCACACCTTGAGTAAGCCTTGGTTATCAGTCTTTTAAAACTATTTTGCCAAAAAATTCCTTCCTGCTCCAGTCTGGACAGGATTTCTGGGTCTGGTGTACAGACTTCCTCTGAAGACCTAATTTTTTTTTTTCCCTGCTTGGAGCCTATTTTTTTTTCCCTCTGGAGTCCATATATTCCTGTTTCTTGATGAACTTTCTCATTTTACTGGCATTTGACTCTTAAGTCCTAGGAAAACATATCAAGAAGTAAGCCTTTTCATGCCTAAAGTGGCTTTGTTTTACACTTACATTTGATGAACTATTTGGCTAGGTATAGAATTCTAGATTGAAAAATAATTTTCTGTTAGAACTTTGAAAGCAGCCCAGTTGTCTTTTGGCATCTGGTATTACTATTATTAAGTCCAGTTCTTTTTCCTTTTTATTTTTTTATTTTATTTTATGTTTTGAGTTGTAGTCTCACTCTGTCATCCAGACTGGAGTGCAGTGGCACACTCCCGGCCACCACAGCCTCAACCTGCTGGGCTCCGGCAATCCTTCCACTTTAGCCTTCCAAGGAGCCGGAACTACAGGCACGCGCTACCACACCCGGCTAGTTGTTGATTTATTGTAGAGACAAGGTCTCGCCAAGTTGCCCTGGTGGGTCTCGAACCCATGGGCTCAGGCAATCTACTCACCTTGGCCTCCCAAAGTGCTGGGATTGCAGGCTGAGCCACCAAGCCTGGCCTCTTTTTTCCTTTTTAAATAGGTTGTCTGCATCCCCCTCCCTCAACACACACTGGACACTTTTATGACCTTATTATTCCTAGTGTTGTAAAATTCTAAAATTTCATATCTAGGTCTTCAGTCACTTATTCTGCTTGGTACTCAGGAAGTCCTTTCAATTTTAGACACCTCTCTTCAGGACTAAGAAATGCTTTACTTTGTGTCTTCCTCTTTCTTTTCTTCATTTTTTCTCTTATAACTTTTAGTTGGATTTGTATCTTTGGTATTGGTCCCCTGTAATTTTTCCTCCCTCTGCCATTTTTCCTGCATCTAGTCTTTATAGTCTTTTTTTTTTTTGTCAGAATCTATTGTCCAGGCTGGAGTACAGTGGCACACTCATGGCTACTGTAGTCTCAACCTGCTGGGCTCAGGCAATCCTTCTACTTCAATGTTTCAAGTAACTGGAACTACTGGTGTACACCACCATGCCTGGCTAATTTTTTGATTTGTTGTAGAGACAAGGTCTTGTCAAGTTGCCCAGGCTAGTCTTGAACCCCTGGGCTTAGGCATTCCTCTTGCCGCAGCCTCTCAAATAGCTGGGATTACAGGTGTGATCCATTGTGCCTACCCAGATATTTTTGTTTTCAAATAAAGAAAAAGCTACATATTTATTGAAGGTCTTCTCATGTCATTCCCCCTCCCTTTCAAGAAGAACCTCTGTCCGTACACATCCTTACCCTTTATGGTTTTATATTTTTATTATAATATTTAGTATTCTCTATAGAAGCAGACCGTGCCATCATCTTTGCTAAATATTATTAATTGGTCATCACAATAGTTGTACCAATTTCCTCTCTATCAGCAGTATGAGGATTTGTTTTCTCAACTCCTCCACTAATAATTATTTTCAGACACCCAAATGTTGTTGGTTGGACACGTGTGATCTGATTTAATTTGCTTAATACTGAGCATATAGCACTAATAAGCATCTTTTCATTTGTTTATTCTCTGATAAGGTTTCCTCTTCTATAAGTTACCAGTTTATAACCTTTACCTATTTTTTTTAAGTTGGATCATTGGCCCTCTCATATTAATAGGTGTTCTTTATATATTCAGAAAGGTAAACCTTTGTCACTGCACATATCTTCTTTGGCTTACCTTTTAACTTTGCTTATGCTGTCTTTAATATTAATGTGGTCAAGATGATTTCATTCCTTTCCTTTATGATTTATATTTAAGAAATTTCAGAAAGCTTTCCCTAACTTGAAGTTATAAGATATCCTGTATTTTTTTGTATTAAAGTCTTGCTTTTCCTATTTAATTGTTTAATTCATTTGAAGTTTATTTTTGCATATAGAGTGAGGAAAGGGAGCTGATTTTGAATCGTCCTCTCTCCGACATGGCTAGTAGGTTATCCTGGACCACGATTTCCTCTCTGCTCTTGGTGTTTATGCTACTCTGTCATAGATCAAGCTCCTTAGATGTCTGGGTCTGCTTCACTAGTCCATTTGTTTATCTCTGTGCCATGGTCACACAACTTTAATGACTATAACTTTATAACACATTTTGATTTCTGGTACAGTGAGTCCTCCACCCCTATTTCTTTTAAAACTTGTCGTTATTATTGTAGGATTGGCTTGTTATCTTCTGATTTGTTGTAAAATCCATTTTGTTTGATACTGATGTTTCTATATCAGGTTTTCTTAATGAGTGGTAAACATTTTTCTATTCCTTTCAACCACTTTTTTTTTTTAGTCCAAGCCTCACTCTGTTGTCCAGGGTGGAGTACAGTGGCACTATCACGGCTCACCACAGCCTTGATCTCCTTGGCTCAGGCGATCCTTCTGCCTCAACCTCCTGAGTAGCTGGGACTACAGGTGTGTACTACCACACCTGGCTAATTTTTCAATTTTTTGTAGAGACGAGGGGTTGCCTTGTTGCCCAGGCTGGTCTCAAACTCCTTGGCTCAAGTGATGTCGCTTTGGCCTCCCAGAATGCTGGGATCATAGGCGTGCACCACTGTACCTGGCCCCTTCAACTTTTTCATGTCATTATAGTTTAAATTTTCTTTCAAAAAGAGCATAGAGAAATTTGTTTGTTTATTATTATTAAACCCATTCTCCTAAAATGATTGTGGATTTGACAATTTCTCCTTGTGGTTAGTATCAGTATCTGCTTATTTTATTTTAAGATTATTTTGCTAGTACCATGTGTTCTGGTTTGGGATTTTCATAATGTGCTGGTAAATTGCTTTTTATCAGTAAATAGTGGTCCTCTCTATGCCATGAATAATGATTTTACCCTTTAATTTTCTTAATCTGTTTATGAAAAAATCTGGTTCTATCATTGCACTCGGTTTTTGTTAGTATTTGCCAGTATATACTTACTTTGAACCATTTTATGTTATTAGGTTTTAAGTCTATCCTTTGTAAATATCATAAAACTGTTATTATTTTTTTTAAATCTAATCTTAGAATTAGTCTTCTAATAGATAAATTTTAATTCCTATACACTTTACTACAATTATCATTTCTTTGCATTCTTTTTTGCCATATATTGGGATTGTTCTAGTTTTCCCTGCCTTCCTCCCTTTTACTTTTTGTTTTAGAACTTAATATTTTGTTTTTAGGTGTACCATTATTTAATCTATTCCACATTGATAGTTGATTTTTAATTTTAGTTACTATAATAATACTTCAGTTAGTAATCTTATACGATTCCACATGTGTGCTGGTAGATATGTAAAATACATTCTTACAGGTTACTACAGGTCAAAGGGTATGTGCATTTTAAATTATGATAAGTATAGACAATATCTTTTTAAAGATAAATTTATCCAATGAGATTTTATATTTTGTATATGGTTAAAGATGTTGAAGGAAAAGGCAACTATTTAGTTTTACAGGTGGCTAATACTGCAGTGCACATCTCCAAGTTGAGTGTTATTATGTCAAGATTGCCTGTAGACACAAAAATACTGAGGATAAAATTTCACATATATGTTTTTAATAATGGAAGTTTCTTAAAATGAACATGGATACTGCCTTTCTGATCTGCAGAATTTAGGGAAAATCAAATAGATGATTGAGCTGTCTGTAATGAATCCATACAAGTCAACTGGGAAAACAGTTCCTCAGACTGAGTCACACATATGCCAGGTACAGGCAGTCTCCAACATCAGAACAAGTTGAGTTTCCAAAATCAGTGGAGACTTGGACACATTTTCCCATTCAATTTAAGCAATGGAGCGAGGCCCTGGAATGTAGAAGAGTTTAAAAAAATGTCTCCTTTCTTACAGGAGCTCATTCTGGAAGAGGATATGTGTACAAAGATAATGCAAACATGGGCACAACGTGAAGCACTTTTATAGGGGAGCTATACACTGTGCTTTGGGAGGGTGGAGGAGAAAGATCACTTCTGGCTGTAACCCCTTTCAGAGTTCTTTTAATATGCGCTTGGCAAGGGTTGAGGGATCAGAAATTGCTGAGCTGCCAGCCTTTGGGAAAGGGCAGAATTTTCCTAAGTGGAGACTGAGTATTATGATTGTTGAAG